GAGAGCTGCGCACGCCGGTGGATCAAAGCAAGTTCAATATAACGCAGTTTCACCTATAACGCAGTAAGATTTTTTGGCTCCCGAGGACAGCGTTATATCGAGGTAGAGGTGTCTTTGAACTGCAGACCGGCCCTTAGTCTTGAAGAGGCTGCAGGTTATCTTGCCCCATGACAAAGTTCTGTGCAGATTGCTGGCAAATCTAAAGTGATACGATGCATATAACATAGTAAAAAATATAAGGCACCTCATATTTCATCAATGAAGCATTTGTTCCGATTGGGGAAAAAACATCTATGCTTCTGCACTATTTAGTAATATTACTGAGTGTTACTGTAAAATAACAGTGTCAGTGTTTCTGTACATTAAAGCAGTAAACATCTTAGTGTAGATGTTGAACAGACTCTCCCCAGAGACACACAGGGCATCTGAAGGGAAATAAACTTATTAATTTGGATTTTAAAAACATTGTTTTGCATCCAGGACATTCCTTATATTTGCATTTATCACCATGTAAAAATATATAGACAGCTTCTTAATACAGCTCTCTGCTAAAAGGAGATACCAGAATAATAAACTAACTTTTTTGTACAGAAAAAGAATAACAAACATGTTTTTCATTCTATAAACAATACATTATATATGTAGAAAAACATTCAAGAGGATAATTAATGACAAAGGTGCAACATCAACAAAAATAAGCTGCCTTTTAAACCAAAGCACTTGTTCATGGTTTAAAAAAAATAAAAATCTTTTAAAGCTCTTAGTGTCCTCATTGAAATTCCATTTAAAAAAACTGTTAGCTTAAAAATTCTTGCCGTGTTGTTGGGCATACCACTTCTGCCTTAGCTTGCGGTTCTCCAGCTCTGTGAGAAGGGCTTGCCTGTATGCTTCATACAGTTTAACAATTCGTTCCAGTTCTTTCATGAAGAGTAGCTTCAACATTCCCTGGTATGTATCTAGATCAGCTAGTTGGAAGAGTTCCCACTTCAGAATGTGATCATATCTGTTTTGAGATATAAATGTAAGAGATGCATATTTACATGTCATTATAAGAAAACACATACGTAAGACATTATGCATATCCTTTTGTAATTGTGAAGCCACTGATGACATTTTTAGTAGTTGATACTGATGAACCTATTTCTGATAGCCGCATACTTCCACAATTAAAATTAGTCTGGTTAATCTCTACAGTAATTTGTTGCTTAAGGGAAGAGGTATCCCATAAAGCTACACAGAGGAATCACTCAATCATACTATCGATATATATTAATGTAAAAATACCAAATCATTTTGTAAGAACAAATAAATTATTTAAGACACTAGCAAGCAACTGCTATTAACCAAATGTAGTGAATACGTTCTGGAGGCATTAAAAAAAATGTAATAAAATCCCACAAGAAATCCCCCTAAGTAAAAGGGGTTTGAATTGTGTGTATATACTGGGGGGAGGAGGAAGGAAACACCCCCGCTTCCCCTCCCACTGTGGACAGCTTGGGAGGTCAGAGTAACTTGAAAGAATAAGTCTGTTAGCTGATTAAACCAGTACTCCCAAATGCCTGCCTCCTTGAAAGCTGAATTCCACAGGCTTTGCAAAGCCCCTTCTTCACCCACAGTATCGGTCTGCTTCTAAAGCGTCCTTGCCCTAACGATTACAGCGGGTGAAGGAGGATACTGTACGGCTCTTGGCTAATCCATAGCTCTATTCTACCTGCTACACTTACAGTACAGCCAACAGAGTTCAAAAAGTGACCCCTCCGTTTTGTAATGGAACGTCTTTAGAGTGCTCTCCTGTTGGAACATTCGACCTATAGCTCAGTTTCACATTTCCACATAATCAAGCAAATGAAGCAAAATGAAGGTTGCCCAAAAGTATCCTTAAAGCAAGTCAGCACTATCGATCACTGAACTGTTTTATTGTCCGTTTATTAGAATGGTTACAATTGCATAAACGAACAAGGCAAAATATGGCAGCATGGGTCAACTAATGAGACCTTCTGGGTTTTGCAGGACTGCATACTACATCCCTTCACTGTCTGAGCTAACCTGTATTGTATCAACCAGTATAGTCCAAGTCCACTACTTAACGGCAATTATTGTTGAATATTTCCCTATTTAATTTTCCTTCCTTCTCTTACTACTCCTTGTGCTACGATCTTCTGAGATGTCAAATCTTCCTCCCTTCATTTATATCCTTATCATGAAAGTATGTACAGATGATTGTAAGTGGGGGGTGGGAGATTGCCCAGTGACAAACAGGTTAGGAATAACTGCTGGGCAAGCTAAAATGTCGTCCATACAATAACAGGGAAGCATGCAAAACAAAAGAAAGCGAAGAAAACAAACAAACTAAGGCTGTCGATTAATCAGTAAACTCGCGATTTAACTCGAAAAAATTAATCGCGATTTAAAAAATTAATCGCGATTAATCGCAGTTTTAATTGCATGTTAAACAATAGAATACCAATTGAAATTTATTAAATATTTTGGATGTTTTTCTACATTTTCAAATATATTAATTTAAATTAACATACAGACTACAAAGTGTACAGTGCTTACTTTACATTAATTTTTATTACAAATACTTGCACTGTAAAAATGATAAAAGAAATAGTATTTTTCAGTTCACCTCATACAAGAACTTCAGTGCAATCTCTATTGCGTTAGTGCAACTTACAAATGTAGATTTTTTTTTGGTTACGTAACTGCACTCAAAAATAAAACAATGTGAAACTTGAGAGCTTACAAGTCTACTCAGTCCTACTTTTTGTTCTGCCAATCGCTAAGACAAACAAGTGTGTTTACATTTAAAGGAGATAATGCTGCGCTCTTCTCAATTACAATGTCATCAGCAAGTGAGAACAGGCATTAACATGACACTTTTGTAGCCAGAATTGCAAGGTTTTACATGCCAAATATACTAAACATTCGTATGCCCTTTCAGGCCTCGGCCACCATTCCAGAGGACATGCTTCCATGCTGATGATACTTGTTAAAAAAAAAAAAGAATGCACTAATTAAATTTGTGAATAACTCCTTGGGGGAGAACTGTATGTCTCTGGCTCTGTTTTACCCACATTCTGCCATATATTAGGTCTCAGATGATGATTCAGCGCATGTTCGTTTTAAGAACACTTTCATAGCAGCTTTGTGTTTTGTCAAATGAGGTATCAATGTGAGATTTCTAAAGATAGCTACAGTACTGGACCCAAGGTTTAAGAATCTGAAGTGCCTTCCAAAATCTGAGAGGGACGAGGTGTGGAGCATGCTATCAGGTCTTAAAAGAGCAACACTCTGATGTGGAAACTACAGAACCCGAACCAGCAAAAAAGAAAATCAACCTTCTGCTGGTGGCAGCTGACTCAGATAATGAAAATGAACATGCATCGGTCCGCACTGCTTTGGATTGTTATCGAGTAGAACCCATCATCAGCATGGACACATGTCCCCTGGAATGGTGGCTGAAGCATGAAGGCACATATGAATCTTTATTGCATCTGGCATGTAAATATCTTGTGACACCGGCTACAACACTGCCATGCGAACGCCTGTTCTCACTTTCAGGTGCCATTGTGAACAAGAAGTGGGCAGCATTATCTCCTGCAAATGTAAACAAACTTGTTTGTCTGAGTGATTGGCCGAACAAGAAATAGGACTGAGTGGATTTGTAGGGTACACTTCGTATTCTGTGTTGTAATTGAAATCAATATATTTGAAAATGTAGAAAACACCCAAAAATAATTAAATAAATTGTACTCTTATTGTTTAACAGTACGATTAATCACGATTAATTTTTTTTAATTGCTTCACAGTCCAAAAAAACCCAACAACTACCATTCATAGCGGAGTGTCCCTGAAGTAGGGCAAAGTCAAGAAAGGAAGCAAAGAAGGGGTCGTTGTCTTGGCAATATGTTTTCCTTGATGTGGGAACAAG